CGGTAAATGGGCCCCACCAGACATGGTGGCCGAGGAGGCCTTCCTTACAGAAAATTTGGAAGGAAAACGCTGGAAAATACCCAGGTGCTCTGGTGCTCTGATCACCTTTCGGGCTCAGCCGACGCTGAGCACGAACATGAACTTCAAGTCTGCAATTCAAGTACTATTTAAGTACTACAAGCCTGCGTCTTCTGCACCCTTGCATGCTGAGCGAAAGCCCATGGCGCACAGAAACCCTGTACACAGCATGCTAAGGCTAAAGAGGGTAACACTGTAATCATCGGTTATCTGGGTCGACTTAGGTCAAGGACCTAGTAACTACTACCTGGTTTCTGGTCAAGCAGCACGACCACAGAGTCAAAACTTCGGAGGGATCTGACAAGCGTCTCGGGGAGCCTGGCAACAGTCAAAAATATCACCATACCGTGGTCCCAAAGTGTGCACAAGGGGTGTTCCGAGTGATTCAATTATGAACCAGCACGTCGGAGTTGGCATCGGTCTGTCAGACATCTTGCGAACTGCCTAACACAAAATTCCCTTCAGAGACTCGCGCATGGCCTGCTGTGCGCTCGGCGGCTAGGCATGGCTAGGCTAGGGACGGGCCTTGGCGGCAGAGCCTGGCCTTGGCCTTGGCCGCGCCGAAGTCGCCGGAGGCCCAGGGCCAGAAGCAGCAGCGCCAGCGGCACGAAGGCCCTGGCAGCACCAAATGAAACCGACAAGGTCTCGGTTTAGGCCTTGGTAGATGATTTTGGACCGCCGACCTTTTGAGACACAAAAAGCTGATTCAGCGTTACACAACGAGTCCAACTCCATGCGTCAAGCAAAATGCTGGACAAACAGGTGGGTTGCCAAAGACAAGAATTGAGTATGAATGCATGCACGGCTGCCTTCGTGCTTTCCCTAGACGCCTTGTCAGGCGCAGAGCATCTGCCTCAAGATGGCAAGGAGCGTTATGGCGCTGCACTCCATACCGAAGCGTGACCGAACTACCAATAAGTGCTTGCCTGGATGCCAGCAGTATCCGGAAACTCCAGCGGGCTGCTTTCAGAAGATCATCCATGGCATTTTTGGACGGGAAAAGCACGGCTAACAGCTGAGGGGTTGGAGCAATGCAAGGTCAGGCGTTTTGGCTTCAGGGGCTGTTGGGAAGGAGGCATTCCACATGGCAAGAGTTGCATACACACACGAGATCAAAGGATGCCAACCCTATGGGGTGTCGTAGAGAACTTGAACACGCAAACGGCGGGTCTGCGCCCTTTGCCTTTGCCCTGGTGCCTCGGTACTTTCTCGGCTGCAGTACAATCGGTGCAGTCGGGCACTGTCATACGCATGTGCAAATGCAAAGCAAGAGCAACGTCTAGATCATATGCCCGGAAGCTCAATAGGACCTCCGACACCAACTCCAACTCCTGTGAACGGGACGCACGGGATGCCTGCGCATTCCCGCAGAGGCCGGCCGCTGCTCGACAAGGTTGGGCGTGGAGACCCCTTCGGCGACAGTACATGATGAAGAACCCTCCACCTAATTCCTGTATCAAAGCAATGCATGCCTAGATAGGTGGCAAATGGTGACAGTTCTGGGAAACTGGATGTGCAGTAACTCTTGCGTCCTCTGTTGCACGCGCCTGGCATCATCCTCTGAGGTATCCGAGGTGTCGTGTCCAGGTTCCCCACCTGAAGAGTTCTTAGCTTTACGCTTCTTAGCTGTGTACTTTACTGAGGAGGAGCTTGGAGGAGCTGGCAGTCTTGATTAGCGCCCCAGCAGGACCTGCTATACTAAGCCCCGCAGGCGAGCCTGCCACTTGTCAACGCGGCGGTCACTAGGGATGTACCTTCCCGGGATCCGAGCAGGACAGGAACAAGGAAGTCTTCTGCTGACGAAGAGGATCCGTTTGATCGCTTTCACCAGCATTGGCTGACCACAGAGACTCCTAGCACCCGGAGATGCTCAGCTCGCCCGAGAAATGTGGAGAAGGCATCCCTCAGGGACCTGTGCTTCGAAAGTTCATCGATGTAGATGAGATGACAGAGCCCTTTCCATTCAGGGCACTCCAAGAGGGGAGGAGGCGCAGCCTGCCAGAGAGTGCTTGAATGCTCAGGAAGCTTCAACAGGCTTGTGTTGCACACTGCGAGGGCATCAGCTGCCTGCACAACTTTGAACAAGGAAAGCTTGTGAAGCATATCCAGCACAGCTTGCAACCTAACAATCGCCGATGCACCTTCGCGCGGCCCTTCGCTCGCTTCTTGGGATCGGGCAATGAATTCGAAGTCTTCGACTTGCTCATCTGGCAGGCGGAACTGACATGCTGGTGAATCAACGCTTGCTCAAGCATGTCAAAGGCTGCAAGAATCTGAGATCTCCAGCGAGAACACTTGCCGAAACACATGACTACACTCCCACCGAATCATGAGTCGGCTATGCGATTCTATCAAGTTAGTTCTATATGCAGACCTTCACGTGACCAGACAGACACGGACAAAGTCCATCACTGGCCCTCGGATTCCTGACCTTCTTGTTCAGCGCCGCGAGGTTGCCAGGCCCGCCAAGGCCAACGGGCGGTCCGCCCACCGCGGGCGCCGCAGGGGCAGCTGGCAAAAAGTTCACATCCACGCCAAAGCAGTCAACGCATGCCGACAAAGCAAATCACTGGCCATGCTGCCTGTAGGCTTCTCCAAAGGCACCGATGAGACATCTGCAACAGCCTGCAGCGGTGCATTCCTGAAAGAAACGCTTGCAAAGCCCATGTTTAGGATATGTTCCGAGTCACGTTCTTCCCCAATGCCCTTTCGCAACCTGTGTTCACATCGTTTTGCCTGGTCGCTTCCGCAAAAGGCGGTTGTAATCTTCGCGCACCCCATAAAAAGGGTTGGGATAACAGGGCAACCACGATCCGCTGTAGACAAGCGGCCAACGTCCTTGCCATAAAGGACGGCTTTCATCAGTGTTGGCATATCAGAATGCAAGCCTGATGTTCAGGAAGGCTACTTGGCCTTTCCGAGGGCCTTCCACCGCTTCCGCGGTGCTGCCGCGGACTCTGTTACCAAGGAGTGTTTCCGTATAGACACCTAAAAACAGCATATCAAAAAAAAGCAGCTTTGGTGGATTCCAGGAGTGCTGACAGGTCTGCTTTGCCAACTTCCTGCAGCGAAGCAACAGAGTCGAACTTGAAGCTTCAACAAGCTCCAACAGGCTGCTCAATCGCTGGCTTTCAGTTTTCAGTTTGGTTTCGTTGGTCTTCCCTTTTCCCTTCGCGCTCTTAGGCCTTCTGCGGCGGCCGCTGCGTGGCACCGCCCGCTGCTGCGGCCGTCTTCGTCCAAAGGTGCTCGGACCTTGGTAGCCACAACACCGCCACAATGCTCAGCAAAGCTTCCCATCATCATCACCAAATAAGCATTAGCTCAAATGCAACCGGTTTCCTGCTGAGTGACGCTCGAAGCACGCTTTCAAAGCCCCGCACCTAGAAGCAGATGTCTCCAAGAAGGGATCAGCCTCCGTGTGGCTCAAAGTCTGATCCACCTCGGACCAGGAGGACATACCGAAGCTCTCAAAGTCAAAGCAGGCTGTTTTCAGAATGGTCTAATATTCTTTTCTTTAAAGCCAAGCTCCAGAAAAGAAAAAACTGAACAATATTTATCAGCCACAAGCGTATCCGAGGCGACCGCACTGAAGTCCACATCCTTTGCCAGCTGCTCTTTTGCCAACTGCAGCAGGGAGTTTGGCACAAGCTTCTCTCTGAGGAATCTCGGCAATCACAGCGTGGGATGCGTTGAGAACGCTGCCTGCTCGCTGACATCTAAAGACATGCGCAGCTGATTGCCGCTGTGAACATTGATGACCTTTGCAAGTCATTGTTTCACGCATCTGAAGGCTCGTCTGAAGGCTCAGCCAAGTTTACAGGTAGCACCAGGTGGCGCTGTGGTTGCTGGAGCTGGACAACTGCACGTACCAAGTCGTACAAAAAGTATACAATAGCTTCATTCTCGATGTTCAGAACCTTAGTTGCGAAGTGTAAGCTAGCAGCCCCGTCAACAGTCTTGATGACAGCAGTGACTCCATCCATGTCCCGCAGCTGCTCCTGTTCAGCAGCTCGAAAGCAAGTGTGCAAAGAGCCTCCAGCTCAGCCATATCAGCAACGTACGTCTTACGCCCATTCAACTTAATTAATGAAAACTGCAAGCCTGTCAATTAGGTTGGAGCAGGCTACTAAGCATTCAATCCCCAAAGCCAGGGCATGATCCTCCCAGAGATTCAGCGGCGTGGAGGAACTTCTTAAGCCTAATTGCTGATTCCAGCTGTATGAGACTGCAGCGTGATACTGTCCTCGATTCTCTTGATGCCATCGCTGCTGAAGCAATTCCTGCATGCGATTGCGCTGTAGCTAAATCACATATGCCTTGAACCCACACAGCCGTCTACGAGCACCCCAAGGAGCATCGAAGTAGACACTAAGAGTGCTTGAGGCTCAGGGAAACAACGCCAGTCTCGCCGATGGGATCTTGAGGGTCCATGTTACCTTTCCCCTCCTCTGGGAAAGAGGTAAACAAAACTACAAAGTGTCCTACGAGTACCCTGGCTTCGGTATGTTGTGGTAACCTTGTGGGAACCCAGCGGCCTCCGGAGGTCAAAGGAGCGCATGTAAGGCAACTGGAAGATCACCTGCACGAATCTCTGATTCAAGCTTCCTTGCTCTCTCATCAAGAAGTGTTAGCTGGATTTGATCAGATGCTCCACGCGCCTGCAGCAAGATGTTCACACAATCCTGGCTCAGGACCCGATGAAGCTTTCATGAACCTGTGGTGATACAGATAATCAAGTCGAATCTGGGCCGGTATCGGGAGCAGTTCAACAATCAACAGAGGCAGCTTGGGAGATACTTTGGCTTGCCGACCATTCCCACCAACCTTGAGCAAAATCTCGCGACACGCTGAACTTACCCAACTAAGGCTCCAGCAAACCTGAAACACAAATGCGAACGCATGGAGCACTAGCTGGGTTGCTGCTATACCGCAAACAAGATGATAAAGAGTGCCGGATAGACATCATCGAGACCGTTGTCGATCAAGCTCAGAACGTAGACCTTCAACAAGCAACGTCTGCAACGGTACTCCTTTGCACTGACAAAACTTTCGAAAATGTGCTGTAACCGAACACATGACAGGTTGCCTTCTGTAGAACTTGGGTGTGGGAACAGGTGCTTAAGCTCATCTGATGCGGTGCTGCAAGCATTACACAGGCTGTCTTGCTTATGCAGTGGAGATCTTGACCGGCCTGCTCAAAGCACTCATAGCGCGTGAAGAGGCCGAGCATCTCCTTGATCTCACGCAGGCCGAAGCTCAGGCCTTGCTCAACAGCTCTCTGATCTCTGCGGATCTCTGTGGAGCCTACTTGATGCGAACACAGCGGCCCTCGTTTCGACAGATTGGATCTCACGGATTTGTGATCTGGTCTGCTACAAGTTTGGCTGGAAAATTGCTGGAGGTCGTTTTTCGTCACAGGACCTAATGCCCGAGTCAAGCGAAAGGGCTTCTAGGGCGCTCGCCATCCAAGTGCAAGTCGTGAATTCGCTCGCCCTCGACCATGTTCATGACATATCTGGCAAAAGAGCTGATTAGCTGTGGCTTGCCTTAGCCAAAGTTTCGCTCTGAAGGTTGGTGGTCAGGGGCAGAAAACAATCCCATACCAGATCGAAGACTGGACCAGCAGAGCTGCCAAGCACCTCGCCCGACCATGGCAACCCTACCAGAGCAGCATGCTGCTTCTCACATCACCAGATGCAGCTTCCTCCATGACAAGGCATGCTTTACTTTCCAGTGCTCAATGCTTGCGTGAAAAAGATCACAAAATCCCGGACAAGAAGACAATCAAAGCTCTGGTACCTCATGAGGGCCCGCGACTTGAAGGACTCGAACATCTGCGTCCGGCCGAACAGCGACATGTTCCTGGCGCAGCTTTTATGCCACAATGCAGCAAGCTGCCTTGCGGCGGTCGTGAGAGACTGCCATGAAATCTGTTGTGCAATCGAAATCATTGAGGCTCCTCTGGCGCATGGCTGACACCAGCGCGTTGGATTTCGAGAGATCCTAGGACGGGCATGGGCATCTAGCTCATAAGACCACATGAGCAGCGTTTTTTTGGTGGTTGAACCTGGTAACATTCCTTTCCTTAAATAAAATACTATACCCCAAAAGCAGGACATAATCTTAGTCCATCATGGATACCATAGTATTATTCACGGACATCAGTCGGTCATGAAAAGCGGTCGCTGAGCACTTTGGCTCCTCCAATAAATAATCTAGAATAAATTGGAATCGGCTAATGATAGTTCTGAGATCTCTGAGAATCGCATCACAGGCACGCATAATGTTTTGAAGTGCTTCATGAGGCAAAAGTGTTGGCAGACTGCAAGTTTTGTGAATCTTTGCCTGATCTCACAGTCTTTTGGTCAGTAATTTGCGATGCAGAAATTTCCAATCTTAAAGGTTTGGTTTTTCGTCGATATCTGCCAACCCAAAGGGGGCTCAGAGTATCATCCCTGAAGACCTAGCGGATTTAGGGAAGAGGGCAGTGAATTATGGGATCTCAAGTAAGTAATCCTTATATTGCATGTTTTTCCTACTGGCAGTCTGTGTTTGGAGCTCAACCATTTGAACACATCTTTCTCTTAAATCCCATTGAAAGGCCGGGAAAAGGTTATCAGGAAAGGGTCTGGCAGGTGGTATGCGAGGACACCAATGAATTTCGTCGTTCTGTTCAAAGTTAAAGACTCGATGTCCGGTTCGTCAGGCCAGGCTTCAGAGAACATAGATATGGAGAGATTACGAAACTTCCAAATAATGGCACCAAGATTGGGGCATCTATGCACGAAGGATGCCAAATTACCTCCGGCTTGCATGAAAATGAGGAAGGCAATAGTCCAATTGTGGCAAATTGTGGCTCCCGGGTAATGCTCTGTTGTCCGTCTGTTCCAGAAGGAAAAGAGGACGCAGTAATCTTTGAGAGAAGCGCCCCATTTGTGAAAGGCCCACGAGGAGTTGGGTGGTTTCCATTCCAGGTCAATCCAATTTGATCCGGTCGGACACGCCACGGGGGGCTGCACAAGCGGTGCGCATCTCTCAACTGCAGCAAGCAACGCTTCTGGTTGCGAAGCCCTTGCACCTTCATCACGTAGAGTTTCAAATGCATGCGACTCACACGTAATATTCTGTACTAAAGCTCCGTTTCTACGGAATGCCATCCAGGTTTCAAGAAGACGTGCAATGTCCTGCTGGACTGTAGACCAGTTTCTCCTGGTATGCATTGGGAGGATAGTGGTGGCAATCGGGCAATGTTGCGCGCAGGCAGGCCGAAAGGGCCATGTATGGATGATGTCCGACCATTCATCACGTATAACTTGAAATCGGGGACAGTGATGAGCAACATGCAACACGTCTGCATCTTCACAGCCACAGAATGTGCAGGCAGGTGTGGGCGCAATATTTTGCTTGTGCAGTCCATGCGGGGTGGCGTTTGCATTAGACAGCAGTCGCATAAGCGCAGTTCTGCCTTACGCTTGCGGATGCATTTTGCGTATCAGAGCAGTGGTAGCAGGGATGTCAGCATGCTGATTGCCGTTCCATCTTGCGTGCTTCTCAGATAATCCGTCAACAAAAACATATCGTATTTGCTCTCTGATAAAATGCTGAAACTTGTTGTGTTGGGCTTGGTAAACAAAATTCGATCTCCATTTTTCCTAGAAACTAGACCGATGGTTTCAAGGTCAAAACACATTTAAGCCATTCGATATCATACGAGAGAAGACTAAGGGGGCCCTTACCTTTCATGGATACCACAGTATCCCCAAATAACATACTACTCACAAGGAGAGACAAGGAGGCCGCAAGGGGAGGTGCTGAGTTGTGTTGTGCGAGGGCTGCTTTGAGACGTGTCTGTTCGCCTCTGCAAACTTATCCGGCCTTACCTGCATGAATCCACCTCCATCCTGAATACATTAGTTTTGGCAGGGGCACTGCCTCATTCCGAACAAAACCACATCGCAAGATTGGGTAACCTTGCTGAACGAAAGAAATGTCCGGAGAAGATTTGGGCTGCTACCCCCTGGTTCGTGCGTATGAGCGTAACCTGTTGTACGTGCAAGAATGGGGCTTGCAATATGTTTGCCTATTTCTTCCATCAGATGGTTGAGAGCAGGGGCAAAATGGGAGTGTGGGAGGTTCTGTTGAACGAAGCTCCCCCTCACACCCTACTTACCTTTCCCGCCATGATGCACCTGGGGCCACCATGCCAGGTGGTGGTTGCGGTGAGGCGGCCTCCCCTCCCAAAACGCCCGAAGGTCACTTTATAGCCCTCTAAGACGGCGACGAAAAGAAGCTGGTCTAGAGAGTCAGTCCAGTCTTGAGTCCACTGCGTTAGCAGGTGCCATGTCAAAGTGTCTCACTCATGTGCCGCCAAGAAGAAGTCTGCTGTCATGGCACCCCAAGGTAGGCATCGCTACGCTGCTGCCCCTCGTGAAGCATCGCCAGGAGCCTCGAAGCCGTATACCCTCATGAGGTAAAAAGTCTCTGGACGCAGATCTCCGAGCCCTGAACTGTGCGATCTTCTCAATCATGGGAGGTACAGGGTTGCGAGCCTCAGCGGCCAGGGCTGGCCAGGGCTGTCAAGCCGCCTGGCTCTTTTGAGTGCTGCGCCTGCTGGGCCTCGTAGAGGAACTCGTTGACCTCTCAGGTCCCCATCGAGCATCATCGAGCATCGCACACAGGGGGCTTCCACGTGCTAACGAGTAGTTGCCTGCAGCTTCTCCAGGAGATCTGACTCTGTCGATTGGATGAGGATGGGCCGCTGCCTGATATATCTAATGCTTTGCTGCTGAGGTGAAAACTGCTGAAAAAGTTTGCAGCTCAGGTGTTAACCTCCTTATGAAAGAGAGTTCGTCCCTGCCTTCCTGCTTCATCTAGTACATCTTCGCGCTTGATGTACCTCAACCCCGGCATTGAGCATTGATGAAACTCGAAATCAGACCTTCAGCCTTTTAGCGGCTTCTGGACGTTGTCGCGGGGGCCATATCGGCAAAAATCGAACTCCAACTGGCTAGCCTAGCTGTGTAGCTTTGAGCGCACTCTAACTCTTTCTTGAAGGCTTCTGTATCGTTGACTGTCGTGGCAGCCTGGCAGCAGTCAAAGCACTTCGGATATGCGAGTGCTGTTCGAAGGGAGATCAGTCCCCGCATTCCCAGCATCCTGCTCTCAAACCGCAGCTCCTAAGCACTTGCCACATGGATCTAAACATGCAATGTCATCCATGCAGCCTACCTTCTCCTCAAAGGAGTCGATCTCATCTCGCAACCTTCGTTGAAGCTAGGCAGCCCACTGACAAAAAAATACACCAATGCAAACTGCTCCGGGCTATCCGGCACACCCCTGCAAAATCCTGCACTTTCAATCCCCGCTGCACCCTACAGATGTGACATTCTGGCTTCGTGCCTGTATAATTACTTCGCAGCTTCTGAACAATTTTAATGAAGCTCAGCGTTCATGTCTGTAATTGAGGCCTTAATGCAACCAGACATGTGCCTGCTGTTCTCCCCGGAGAGTTCCTTGGCTGTTGACACTGCGCAGTGCTTCACAAGAACTGCAGCAGTGCCGCAATGTCAGTCTCCTGTGAAAGCAGTGCTCGTGAAATGGTAATGGTGAATTCGCAAAGATGGTCGTCATTCTGGGCTCAGTGGCGCTGGCTTTGTCAGCGACTTTCTTAATCTCCACCTGATGGCCAAGTCCATTTGTTATGGGCTTCTTGACGTCATGAACACACAATGCACTACAGACTGCATCAATAATTGGCTCTGGCTCGCTTCTCACCCATACAGTACCCAAGCATGCCTGCCTTCAGGGAAGATTTCTCCTCTTCTTGGCCATCAATTCCTGACTTGCTTTGCGACTGACGAAAAATCCAGCGCTCGGGATAGGAATTGCTCTGCTTGAATCATTGGACAAAACCTTTGCAGCTACGTGGATCACTTCGTTGCTTTTTGATCTGCCAAGCGTGGCAGCCACACGACTGGCCAAGTAGGCGTTCTGGGTCTGCAGCTGGCCTGCCACGTGCTTTGCTCATGAGTAAGCCTTGAATTAAGGGGGTTCCTTGGGACATCGAACAGTCGAACTCTCGCTTTGCCCTGTGCCTACTCGGTCGTTCAGCTCGGAGATTTCCTTCTCTGCCTTCGCAGGCGTGCAGCTCAGGAGTCTTAGACCCCACAGCTTGCTTGTGGGGGCTTCGACTTCAGCTCGCATTCAACAACAAGCGCAGCTCATGTTCAAGGATGTTCAAGGTCAACCAGAGTGCAGCCTGGGCATGCCCATCCTAACACACATGCATCAATCTCCTTGGAACGCCCAAGAGTGTCTCCGTGAAATTGAACAATGACTTAGGTGAATGTTTCAAGCTTGGCTTCCATGTATCCATTTGAGAAGCCCGTTAAAAGCTTCCCTTGACTTTCACACAAAGGGCCTTCTCCTGTGCTCCTTGGGAGACAGTCACGTTGTCCTCGATTTTCTTGTTCTTCCTGGGCTGTAAGGATTGTGAAGTTGCTGCAGGGTGGCAGTCCAAACCGGGCATGCACCTCACAACGAGGCAACCAAGAAAAAGCACGATTCATTGAGCAACTCTGTCTGAATAATGTAACCTGCGAAATCAACCTCCATCATCCTGGATGCGAAACACTGAGGCCCTGATGGATTGAAGCCCAGTCTGATATTCAACGGTCCAAAGGCTTGAACGCCACTTTCGCTTCTCTGCATGACATTGAACCAACTGGGCGTGATCCTTCAAGCCTTCAAACACACTAGTTAGCGGTTTGCGGCCAAGCAGCTTTTTAAGAACGACGGCCTCCAGCAATTTGGAAACTTTTCGTTACTTGCGAGCTTTGCGCCCTACTTCCACTGCGTCATCGTGCGAGCGATAGAGGTTGGCCCTACCCGTATCTGTAGCGGGGCCTTCGCATGCCCAACACCAGCACAGAAGATGCAAAAACGTAGATGCCTCCTGCTCTGCCTCCTTCCGCTCCTGCTCAGCCAAGACCTGCCCGGGGCTCGTACAGACTGCTCAGTGCTTTGCAATTGGAATTGATGGCTGTAGTTCTTGCAAGACCTCGGCAGTGCAATTTGGCTTGATCTGAAATGCAGCTCAAGACCAATCACATCAGCCACCAACAATCCAGGAACAAATGTTTCTCTTGTCTGGAAAACTAGCAGCGCTTGTGGCAGGCACGCGAATGCTCAGTGAGCCGTGAAACAGTCGCCAAGAAACTGGAAACCCTTTTGCCAGAAATGAGGCTCATTCTGTCCGAACCAGCTAGGGTGCGGATCTGTTCTGCCTGTGACAGATAAGCGCAAGATGGTCGCAAGTGTGACTGGGTTTGAAACGTGCCGCATCTTCTGGCAGGTATCAGCTTTCAGTGTGGGGGGCGGCCCGGAGCGGCATCCACGCGCCAGAAAAGACTTGCACCAAAAACAATCCATCTCAAGAGGGCCGGCGCTCATGCACGCAGAGCAGGCGCTGCAAGACGCCGTGCTTTCTGCATGCAGACGTCACCTTGCCCTCTCATGCGATGTCACCAGCTTCCAGCGCAACATCTTGATGACAAGCGGAAGGGCGCTCTTCGTTAACAAAAACCATCGGCCTTCTTGCTGGCATCCAGATATTTGTAAGGTCTGCAAACGAATCTGATGTACAACCCAGCAGGAAACATTGCTTTACACAACTCCTGAGATTACCGTGCTGGGGCATACAAAAACACCAACCCGCACAGGCACAATTGCGAACAACAGCACCAGTTGGGGCCCCGAACAAGTGCCATCTTGCTTGGGATGTCTGGATGCTGAGGCCTTCAGGCATGATCTTAACTTCGTCTCATGAGTCCCCACACTTTTTTCATGTGGTGCTGGTGGGGCTCCTCCGCGTCATGCCAGTCCTGGGTGTTCGTTCACAAAGCCCAAGGCCAGACCGAACTCTTGCTGTCACGACAACATGATTTGAGTATGGCCTTTCAGACGTTTGTTTGTCTTGTCAGGCTATCTCGAGCAGAGGCCCCAAACCCCACAGAAGCAGTTCTTCTTGTTTAGAGTTTGGGACTACCGAAGGCCAAGACGTGTGCAAAGGGAATCAGGCCCTCTGTTCAGCCAAGCTGCACGCACAGGTTCAACTGGCACTTTGACCTCGACAGAAATTCAATCGACAAATCTCGTTCCGGCGCACCAGCTCTTGAGGAGCTTCATTCTGGTGGAAGATCTGAGGTCTAGGTATGCCTCCTGGCTTTGAGGGGGCTGGAGGGGTCGTTCTCTCGCGTTTCAAGAAACAACCTGCACATGATGTCCATGATATCTCTATAACTGCTTCTGGTCAAACCTTGTACCATTCCATACAATTCCTTTCAAGATTATTTCAATTTTTTCCAGATATAATCCCTTTACAGTTCCTTTCAAGATTCCTGATAGCACTGCAGGGGCAGCGTGAGGACGAGGGGAAAGGCGTGAGGGAGGCAGCAGCCCATGCACCACGGACAAACCTTGCAGCCTAATAGCCAACTCAAATCAAAATTCCGCTCGCTTAGGTGCTGCCTTGACAACCCTCGAGTCTTTGAGCACCCTTGCGCTGGGACCTGCCTTGAAGGCAGGGAACTAGAGCGAGGAAGACAGAGCCCAGCCATCATAAACATGGAGTCAAAAAAGCCTTTGCCTAGTTTCTCGCAGTGTGGGATCAAACCAAACATGAGGGTCATGGAATACGCCCATCCAAAACGCCAAAGCTACAGTGAACAGAAGACACCCGTGTCCTGCAACATGCCAGTTGCATCCCCAGCAATGACCCGCGTGCAACAAACAACCAGGCCAGCATAGAAATACCCAAAAGCTTGGACGAAGAACATATGCAAGACCCATTCTGAGACAACCCCACATATGAAGACAATTGAAGACAAGTGCACTAAGATGGCACGCGCAAGTTGGACTTAAGACGTAAGATGCAAAACGCTCCAGTCCACTAAGATGAACCGAGAGCGCACTACACAGACGATGGCGAGGCACGGGTAGTGGCGCATAACGCCCAGATGCATCCGCCTTCTGCACTGACTCCTGGCAATTCTTATTTTTACACGGTCAGCATTTGTGACCATCTATTGATATCTATTGCAGGTGTCCATGAGCCGGAGCCCCGCGCCTTTGCCAATGCCTTCTGCTCCTCGTCGCTGACCTCGAGTTTCTGGAATCACAGCTGCCTTTTCGAACGTACTCCATGAATCGCCAAAGTGCCCAGATGGCCGACCGATACTGGCACTTCGCGGCTGGACCAACATACCTCAGTCGCTAGCTTCAAGCTGTCGAGCCCCTCATGGCCCTGGAATTCCTGGAACTCTGCACATGGCATCCATGCCATGTGCTCCTGATGACTTGCCCAGCTGCTGGTCCCAATAGGCGTCCAGGAGCTCTTGATATGAGACCTCTTTGTCTCTTGGTCGTTGAAACGTTTCCAGACAATCTACAGGAGGCCCTTAACCGAGACGCTAGAGAAGACTTCACACCAAGAGCAGGCAAGCACAAGAAGCTTGTAGGCCACATCTTTGCAAGAGTTCAGAACGTGAGCGGCTCTCTCCCTGCTTGCTAGAGGCCTCCTTGGGATTGTACTCCACACGCACGGCTTCAGTGTGTCCATCACCTTCGAAACATGTGAACTGAGCTGCGTCCTTGCCTCACCTTGTCGTGGAAGGTAATTCAGGCTCTCAGTTGAAGCCCAGAATCACATCTCAGGGAAGCCCTACTCCCAGCCCCCAGCCGTCACAGACGCTGCCGTAGCTGGGCGTTGGGTTGGCACCGCCAGTATACCCAACCTCTGCATGCAGCCAATGAAACGCTGCAAGGCAGCAGTCTAGAAGTCTCATCACACGGGGGTCAGCTGCAGGCACGCTAGAAGTCACTTGGTTGGCCAAGCAGCACGGGTGTTGGTGACCCCCTCGATGTCATCGAAAACCTTTCGAAAGATAAGGAAGCAATTAGTTTCCAGTTAAGACAGGAGCGATGCGCGGGCAGCCCTCTCTAGCTGAGCACAGCAGCATGGAGCAGCCATGCAAAACGGCTCATCCCTAAACCTTTTGGACTGTCCAGGGGGACTTGGCTTCACACCCAAGATTCTTGCAGGAAAACTTTACCTCTGCTGCGATATACCATTTGTTGTGTCAGGCTCTCATGAACAAACTTCCACATTCCGGGATTCGCTGAACAACTCGTCAGCTCCGTACCTGTTGGGGCTCCCAGAATCAGCCAAGCGCGAAGACCGCCACCTGACACGAAATGGGCACAAGCTGCGACACATATCCGGCATCATAAGCACTTTGCTAATGAAGTGCATTGAAACTCTTGGTTCGGAGCACAGCCAAGCCTTCAGCCCTGGCGCCGATGCTTCAGCTCCCCGCGCTGAGAGCTGCCCTGGGATATAGGGCCGCCGGTCCACCGATGCGGCTTGGTACAGAATCCGGAACAAGCTCCCCCAAACAAGAAGCTGGCAAATGAGGCATGAGGTGTTGCTATCAGTGCGAACTCTTGTGAAGACTTGGCTTTGCTGCCCGGAATCCCTGCCTGGATGGCTTTGCTCCAGCACTTGTCCTCTTTCGGCGAAGCGGTACTCGAGTGGCTGCAGGGAAGCGAGACAGGGAAGCGAGGAAGCGAGACGCAAGGAAGAGGCAAGCGAGCGGAGAGGCTTGGCCAGAAGCCCTTTTTTAACATGTTCTCTTTGGCTCAGCGCGCCTGCCAATCGAAAAACTCGTCCAAGCCCGCTGTTGCCATGGCCACAAGGCTGGAGGCTGAAATTTGATTGATGTTGATGCGCCACACGAAGCTTGCAGTGACCCTGCACCCACTGCAGTTCTTTCATGAATGCAAAGGTGTCTTGAATAAGATTCAGAACTTTTGGAAGGCTGTTGCAAGTTGCAGCTGCGAGGCTAGCCAGGGTATGAGACAGTGCAAATGCAGCCCCCGTATCAGCCTCAGAAGGCCCTGCTGCACATGAGGAACCATCCGACCTTGGCATCAATCTCCATGGTGATCTTTGCCTGACGAACGCGCTGCCACATGTAGAAGAACTGTTAGCTCCAGGCTGCTAAGCATCTTTGTGAAAACAAATCTAAAGAATGTACGTATAGGATGTTTGCGGTGGGGTGAGGGATCAAAAAGAAATTGTTTAAGCATCAAAAAAACATACGCCCAGCGCATCAAAAAAAAAACTTTTTAAGCATCAAAAAAACTTTTGTACTAAATTTAGTAGGG